TCAGCAGGGGTTTTTTTCTCTATCACTTGTCAAATCTTATTTTGGTTTTGTCTATTTAAATGAAGTTCCTTTTTAACTTCTCAAGATAATACTTAAAGGTATAATTTTGGCCAGGACACTCTACTTAAGCTTCTGGTGAGAAATGTAAATACATTGAGCAGATGACTACTATGCTGCTAGGCTTTGAAAACTTCTGAAAGGTCAGTCCATAGGTCATTTTGAAAGGAAGACTGTGATGGACGGTTCCTTTGAATCGTTTAAGTAATATTTTGTGTGTGCACACATACAGATTATTTTAACAAGAATTGTGTGAAATGTTGCATCAATATATGGACATAAAATTGTATTGTCATATGATGTAAGACTCAAAAATATTAAGGAAAATGTGTAACAGTAATATGGTCTTAAAAGTGTATAATTATGCAGCAGGGATGGAAACATCCGATTCAATAAAAAAAATTGCAAGGATTCTCCATGAGGGGTAGTTTTCAGCCTGGATGTGTTACTGTTTAAGCAGCATATTTCTGAAACATCTCTTTTGTATACAAAAAGCAATTGTTAAACAAGAGAGCACTTTTCCACTGTGTTTAGCTGCAACTTTCTGCACAGCAGTTCAACTGGCTATGAAACTGTGTGAACCAAAAATGCAGACCAGTGGAAAGCATGTCCAAAAAATGCATTATAAATACACTCTAATTAATTTTTTTTCCCCTCCACAGTGAAGGAGAGTCTGGACTTCGAGCTTACTACTGGAATATGTTCTGGGCACCACAAGATATGGTTGCTTCTCTTAAAAAATTAACACCAGTGGAAAGACAAGAAATCAGTAGTAAACAAGTAGCTCACATGTTCAGTTCCTCTGGGGAAGATGATTTTGATCTTATGACAATGGAGCTTTTTGGTAACAATGTACCTGTCATTTAATACCTATTCCCTCTATTTTTCTTTCTCTAGTTTGTGTACTTGGTTTGTGTAGCTGATAGTTATTAAATTTCAGTTTCAGATTCCACAGAATATGATGTGATGCTAAAATCAGGTAATTACTCTTCAATCCCAACTAATATCACTTTGGGGGGAAAAAAAATCCTGTAACACAAAAATGCCATTTTTCCAGTTATTCTTGTATCTGTAGGGCCTACAAACTAAACCAGACTAGGGACCTCTGTTGCCTGTGCTTCAAATAAAGACTGAGATGAAAATGCATTACAGCTTTTATTCTGGTGTTCTGACTAGAATGGTTGAAATTTAATAGTTCCCACTGAATTGCAATGAGCTGTGGCTGCTTTTCTTGGCACCTTTTAAAAAGCTACTATATAAAATTATAAATAATTTAGCTGCCTTGTGACTAGATAATTTGGGTTATTTATAGTTAGTGATCAGTCAAATACTGTAGAGCTTTAATTCCCTTTGCGTGGTTTCTCTATATCAAGCACACCTCGAGATCAGCTTCATATTCTTAGTGTTTCATTGCATGGAGAAGGGCAAAGAGGAAAAGGCAAAGAAAGTGGTAGGTTTCAAGCAGAGATGGTAGCAATTGCAGCCAAGTCCCCTCCTGCTTGCTGAGTGTATGATGAGCTGATGGTGTTGAGGTGTTGTTCTTCCTTGGCCAAGGCAGGGGAAAAAGGTGATGCAGCCTGGTAGGGAAAAGGGAATAGAGTTCTAAAAGTAAAGGAAGAAGATATTAGAGTAGTCAAGGAGTATGGGTAGGAGATTGTTGCTGCCTTTTCTGAAACTTTACCCAATAACTTAATTTATCTTTCAACTTAACAGTTTTTCAGCCACTGATCTAGTTTCTTTTGTATAGCAGTATCCTTTGACCTGTACGCCAAGCCAGGTAACAACAGGACTCTAACTCTGATGAATCCCAAAAAGTCTTTTTATCAATGGAGGCTGCGAGTTCCTTCTAACTATGTGGTGAGACTGGTAGTTATCACTTTGCATGGTGTCACTCCAGAGAGCTGTGCATCACACCACTTATCAGCATATGATTTCCTTCTTCCTCTGCAGAACAAGATCATTACAAGGTATGATAGTACAGAACAAAGAGATGTACAGAAACTCTCTGAAACTGTCGCAATATCAAAGTTATATCAAAGAGGGTTCCAAAAATGTAAGACTCCAAATACAACTTAATTAAAAATCTTGTATAAGGTTATAAAAAGATCTTCCATATTATTCCTCCCTCTAATGAATTATAAATTCCTGTGGGTTTTATTCTGCATTATGACTAATTTTTACTGGTTTCAATTTCATGCAGTTACTGTCACAACTGAAGAAGATAGAGACTTTAATTTTCTTTAGAGTATTGTATTCTATTACTTTTAGAAAACACATGTTTTATAGCAGTCCAGTCACAGGCAAATCCCTGCTCATAACAGGGGTGTTGTGTCTATGGAAGGCTCTATCCCCAGTGTCACTGTGTAGTCCATTTGCATAAGTGAGATCAGATGATCTTGTAACCTTCAGTGGTCACACTGCTCCTGCTTTTCAAAGTCAAATTTCATGTATAGACATGTTATCCACCATGAACCTGTCTTCATTAACAAACTAAGTCAACAAGTTTTAGAATCTGTGGATGGATGGTTTCAAGGGGGGGGAATTTTTGTTTTTAAAGAACTTTTAGCTGAGTATGCAGATTTGGTTAGCAGTATCTGAAATGCACTTTAGTAGTGCTTTAACTTCTCTCAAATGAATAAGTAGTTCTCTTCAGCTCTATTTACAGACTTGTCTTTCTCCTTATGCAACAAGGTACAAGAGCTTGCCATTGTTGACAGGCTGTCCGAAAGCCAGGCACAGAGTGAGCACGGGGTTTTTGTAAGGAGTTGGTCTCGGACTGTAGCATAACATGGAGAATCCCGTTTCTGGTGCTGGGCTGCATCTCTTCTTCTGCTGACTATGGGTTATTGCAAGACTGTTACTCTGTTGTGCGTTATTAGCAATGGCTCGGCTTTTTAGGAACCAGAAGTGTAGTCATTCACATGCATGAAAGCACCTGGAAGCTAGAAAAACCGACACAGGTGTATGAAGTAACATGTTCAGAGAACATCAATGCAGTTAGCTGTAAAACAGAAAGTTCAAGAATGTGCATGTCTGTCTATTAAAGAACTGGAACAGAATTTGGAGACTCAAATGATGATAAAAGCCCTATGGTGCCTCCAAAACAGTTGACTTTTACTTTTATTGCCAGCCTAGCAAATGTGTCGTTTTGCAGATGCCTATTAGTTTTCTACTTAAGATAAAAGTAGCTAGGCACATGCTTAGGACAGATGCAGTAGAATTAGTAATAATATCTTCAGTATCCTTGAGAGCCAGGAATTGTTGTACTACAGCCATTGTTTCCTGACATTCAGTTCTAGGATCACACATGGTGACTAAAGAGATTCTCACCAGTTTCTGTAAATGGCAATAATACAGCTGTTCATTGACAAATACTGAAGAGTGAGCTAAGATTGTGAAATGTACTGTAAAAGTAGGTGTCTCATGTGGACAACTCTTCTCATATATGCTTGCCTTGCTTTTCTGATGATATTCTGACAAAAGGTACAGCTAGAAGATAGGCCAGACTGCCAACCGGGTAGAAGATCAAGACTCTGAAAAATTTCCATGTAGCAGTGGGGAGGGAACTCAAATCGTTCATTTTATAAAGGATTTGATGGGTATTATGATAAAAAGGATCTAATGATGTCTGCAAAAAAGAAGCAAACTACAGATCCATTGTCTAGTGCCTCACATGAAATGGGAGCAGGGAATAGCCTGCTAAAAGCAGACGAGGACTACTTTCAATTTAAGGTTCAAAATTTTGATTTTAGTGCTGTCATTATGGATCTCAGTGACAAGTCAACTTGATGCAGGGGTGTAATGGAAATACTCTTTTATTGTGAGGTCTGATCTTAATTGTTTTAATTTTCTGTACATAGAAAAAGAACGCTCTTAGAAATTGTTCACATGCAGATTTGTAAAGTAATGAAAAGAAATCCAACATATGCTGTGGATTTCAAAATGGAAGAAATATAAGACTGAATTTACAGATGCAAGAAATAGCACCTCAAATTACAAGTGATAGTAAATATTCAAGCTTCAGGATGTAATTAACTCTTCATTATTTAAGCAAAAGAACAATAAGAAGAATTATTGAAGAAATGGCTGCCATGCATGGGGCTCCACATCTTGTGTGACAGCTTTTGTGACATGAAACCAAGCTGAATGTTAATAGATTAAAAATGCTTTGGGCTCGTTATCTGCTGCATAGATGCTGTACACACTGCTGCACTGGCACTTGTTGCCTTTTCAGTGCTAGCCGCTGCTACTCAGTACCACTATCACTACTGAAGTAACATAATTTGGCACTGTCTTTCTGATGCTCGTACAGGTCTGAAAAATGCAAGGCACCTGTTAGGCCAGGATATCTGTTATGTTCACCCTGAGTGACTCAGCCTCAATGTTGGGAAACTCTAGTGTCTTCTGTAGTTGAAAGGAACAATAAAAAGGAAGTGGTAGCCAAGGGATTATTTCTGAAACACAGATGACCAGATCAGTGTTACTTCTGTCCAGTTTCTCAGCAAAGATGACTAGAATGTGGGAAATTTTTTTTAACACAATTTTTGTAATATTTCAGATGGTGTGGACCTGGGGCCTGGACTCCTCCTCTTGTACGTTTAACTTCATCAAGTAATGTAATGTTGCTTACCTTCTCTCTGGACCGAAGAGAAGAAAGCAACTTATTAAAAGCCCACTTTCAAGCCATTCCTAAAATTAGTAAGTAATTAATAGAAACAACCATCTGATGTAAGCCCACTTACTTCTCTTGTTGTCTCTAAAAAAAGTTGATATTGCCTGAACATATCTGGGTGGAGGGAATGTTGGCATGTAAGTCAGGGAATTGTCATTCTGATTCACTAAAAAAAAAAAAAAAGTCTGAAAACTGAACAAAGAATAGAGAATACCCTTTGGTCTGGGAGATTGTTTTGTCTTCCTGATTACTACCCAAGCCATCTTTCCCAGACGTTAGTCTTACTAGATGGGTAACACAACGGTAACAGAGCAGCCAGCCAGATAGCACTACAGGTGCTATATATCTAGCCAAACCTAGATAGCCCCAGTGGCAGAGCAGTACTTTTATCAGTTTTGGCAATCCATTCCCAGCTCAGGGAATGCATCTTTCATGAAAACGGAAAACAAGAGCAAACACTTACTTCTAATATGTCTTTGATCCTTTTCTGAAAGCACTGTTCAATGTAGTTAACTGCGTCAGAAAAGTGTATTCAAGACCCAAGAAGTATATTCCAAACCTATGGAGTACTGTGAATTTTGCAAGAGTTCTGGGTGATTAGTGAAATATTTTGAATAATGATAAACTGTAGTATTTTACAGGAGACACAGGGACTCCACAAGTGAAAGCTTAGCCATGCTTGTTTTGTAATGTCTAAGTGAAAGAATTTTGACAAAAAAGCAAGTGACTATTTTTTTAACTTGTGGAACAAATGATAGGGGATGGCATGTGGATAAACTTCTCTAAAGCTTACACATTTCAGCCTATGTCTCTGTGGATGCTGCTTAGGCAAATACTCATCCCATGCACATTACAAATTAGAATTGCTTCACTGTCCTGAAGATGGACACTCCAAGTGACATATAGCCCAGGTATTGCCCCAAATTTTGTTATTTTCAAAATTGTCTTAATTTATGTTATATTCATGTTTGCATTTACTATGTTAGCTAAAGAAAACCAAAAGCACTAAGGACTGCATATCTAGGAGAGTTCTTGGTAGAAAATAAAACCTCAAAGAAATTGTTCAAATGTGGCTTGAATTTTCAGACTGAGAACTGACACATAAACGTCCTCGTTTAAGTGAAATTAATCAGAGGTTTCACTTCATTGGGCTAATTGGTTTTTTAATTTTTGAAAATGTCTACAGAAAGATTAGAAATAAATTGGAAGGGGGAGGTCTGTTGTGTCTACATTTAATGGCTTCTTCCACTTACTACAAAAGAACATTTTAAAAAAACCTCCAGTCAAAGGAAGGTGTTTCGTGTTTATACTTAATTGTAAATTGATCCAAAAATAAGAGAAATTCAGAGTGATGGGGAAGTGGAAGTTATATGATTTTCTGTTAATACAGGCAAAACATGAGTTTAATACTGTCACAATCCATTCTTCGAACTCTGTACATAGAGAAGGGTCCTAGCAAGTGAAGTAGGCTGTACACTGCAGCCCAGTTGAGATAACTGTGTTCCTTGCTGATGTATTTCTCTCCCAGTGTGTGGTGGTCATTATATTTCCTGGAATGGGACACTGAGTTCCCCTTATTACCCAAGTTACTACCCACCAAACATTGACTGCAGCTGGATCATCAGAGTAAGTGCTGGGAACTATTCTGAGTAGTGGTGACTTTGCTTTATGTGGTATAGACATAAAATTGGGAGAAATGGATTTCTGTGTGGGTGAAATGAAGGGAACACATACTAAGACCACTGCCCCTGACTGCTTCTCAGGCACCCATTTCTTTCCTGTCCTATGTCAAGTGCCAACTTTGGAGGGAAACATCACCACATTCCAAAAGATTAAGTACATTATTCATGACAGAAACGAAGTGATGGGTAAGATGACAACTCCTAGCAGCCAGACAAAATTCCTAATAGTCAGGGCTTTGCTTCTATGTCAGATAGAAAAAATGGTTATGTAAATTGTGCATCAAGTGATGGAGACCACACTGTATTTCCCTGAACTCTGCAGAAACGGGACCTTCTCTCTCTCAGAAATGCTCTGGGTTTCCAGCAAACCCTTTGGCAGGACTTAAAATCTGCTCATGATTTGCACCAACCTCCTGGTGTGTTTATCTGTTGCTCCATTAAGCACTTCACTACTGTTTTTGACTTTCACTGGAAAAGGATGGTCTTCATGTCTATGAGTTGGTAAAAGTCTCTACCTTTCACATGGTCAATGAAAATTATTAGCAGCTTGTAACACAAAACTCTCATCTATATGCAAAAAAGATAAGAAAAAGTCTTTCTAAAACAAAGGTTCATAGCTAATGCAATTGAGTGACCAGCAGCTATAGGTATTTTAAATCTCTTATTTGACCTATGTGGCAGTACATAGCATGAACCTCAGATATAGTGCTTTATGCTGGCTGCAGGAAGGCTTACACTCCTTTATCTGGCACAGTCTGGTCCAAGCTGGGTCTAAAAAGATTTCTATACATGTTTAAAATAGCGAAGTTGTTTTGTTTTTCAAAGGTGTTTATTTGGATAATAAAAATTGTAATATTTTCAATCTGATAATAAGTAAAACAAGATTTACCATCTTAGAAGCACAGGCCTTTTCATTTTGTGGATGTGTGTGTCAGGATATTTACCCTTTGATTTTTAGGCACCATTGCCTGGTTACAAGCTCTCATTAAAAATCTTCATAATACAAATTCAAGAGAAGTCTCCAGGGTCCAGTAAATGTGATAAAGACTGGTTAGAAATTGATGGGGTTAGGTGAGTAAACACACTATTTTCTGATATACTAATTTGCACTTTGATGTTCTGAGCAACATACTGTACTTAAGAAAAAAACATCTCACCACTTCCAGTGCAGAAAGATACATTCCAACAAGAATTGGCATGTTTCCACTGAATTTTGGCAGAATAAAGTTCTTAGTCCTGCCCTATTACTGAATATTTGTCATTATGTTAATTTAAGCATTCTGGGTTTTTTTACAGTGTTAGGCCTTGACTTACTTTGTTGTTCCCCTTTAAAGCCATGACATAGAGAACTGCAGGATTTTATGCAGCTCAGTTGAACTGTAAATTCCTGGCAATGGGTGAAGAGCTTGTGTCATCTGAAGTTTCATTTTCTATAGCATTTACTTCAGTGAATGTAATTGTTTTCTGTAAATAAGACAAATTTCAATGTGTGTGCTTAAAAAGACCCAAAACAAGTTAAAACAAACAAACCAACCCACAACAAAACAGTACTCGAGTGATTTGTCTTTTGGAAGGAGCGTATTGAAACCAGCAACAGCTGTTGGATTTGGCTGTATGACCCCATTACAGGATTTGTAACCATTTGGGTTTGCAAACCGAAGTGGGAAATCTGAAATCAAGCATGCCTGAAAGTGGTTTTATTTATAAGGTAGATTCTGACATTGATCATCTTGTGTTTTGTTTTAAAGTCTACTAGTCCCAGAAAAGTTGTGGAGTGGAAGGCATTTGTAAATAAGCTTTCTAATTCTTCTGTTGAGCTATTTTAACATTAAAAAAATAGCTGATTTTTGTTGTATTGTTTTAAACCTTTTTGGCATTGGTACCCTTTAGTAAAAAGAAAGGTAACTGGATGGTAATGGTTAGTTTGGTTAGAAATTAATTATTCTCACTTTTGCCTTGCTAGATACTGTAAAGCTCTTTCAGAAAACAACAGAAACAGGGAATATGGCTATTCTGTCACAATCAACTTCCATTCTGACGAACTGGTCACCCACAGAGGGTTTTATATTGAATACAAAGCCTTCAGTCACACAGATCGTAAGTGAATAAACACGCACTTCAATTTTTAAGGGGAAACCTTTGAGAAACCATGCTCGATAGACCAACAACATACAAATTGACCTGATTTTTTTTTTCTTAACTTAATTGCAAAAGAGAAATATTTAAAATGTTGTTATGTATTTAATTGAACAAACAAATGTACAAAACTAGATAAAAGATGCTTTTAGAAGCTAGTACTTATTTTCTAACTTTTAACAACATTTCTGTATAGTGGGAAGCAAAAGAAAAATTTCCCAGTTTCTGGAGATGTAATTATTTGGTATTTTTCTAACATCTTAAAATAGCCAAGCTGCGACATGAAAATAGCATGGCAGAGAGGTTTTAAACATAACTCCTGCCAACAGGAGTTAAGCATGAATAGTTAGTTTTTTCTTTAAAATAGCAACTCAATGTGTGATGGATCAGCTTCCAGGTTTAGACAAACTATTTAAGTTTTCACTGAGTGTCAAGGAGGACCCGTTGTTAATAGGTGTTGCAGAAATATGACTGGGTTTCTTACAGACCTTTCCAGACTTCCCAGTCTCTGAGCTTTTGGAGTAGTGTTAGTTTTGGTGGTTTGTTTTTTGGGTGTTTTTTTTTTGAGGGGGGGGCCTTCCAGAAACTGAAACAAGGATTTTCAGAAAACATATATATATATTTACTTGTGATATTTCTTAGAAAAAGATACATCTACAGTATATACTTTGTAAATTCTTTCTCTTCAGTAGTTTGCGGAAACATTCTCTCTTTTTTTTGTTTCTATGCCAACCAAGGTCTTTTTCCAAATTAACTTCTAGGTGGCTGAAGTTCTCTGATTTCGAGAGATTAGTTCAGTGTTTGAAACCTCTTCAGATCCCCAGCGTGCTTGACTGAGCATAGCTCTGTTCATTGCTGACTTAAAAGTTTTAATGTATTAAGATCTCTGGTATAGATTCCTGCTTCATGTCTTTCATTAGAAATAAATGGCAGATTTTCTGGTCAGTCATTCTACAGGACTCAGATATTTTCAGGGATTTCTTTTTCCATCGTTGTGTGTCTCTTCCTACTGGAAAAAGTTACAAACTATACTGTGTCCTGTGGTTACTCTGGTTACTGCCTCAAAAACTGTTCAGAGATGAGTCAAAGCCTAATACCTTTCTCTACAGACAAAATCCCCAGTCTTTATTTTGTATACAAGTCTTTACTTTCTGTGTGCTCTGCTTCATTTCTAGTGCTAAGCCAGCAAACAGATGGCTCAAAGTCATGTAATCAATCCTCAGTCGCAATCTGAAGGAGCTGTATTAAGACTCACCAGGAGGGGTAGCATAGCTGTGATGTGTCAGTATGAAGTCAATACAGTAAAGGCATTTGTGGAGAGGTGTCTGAGAGAGCACAGTGTATTGAGAGCACTGGTCTTCCACAAGAGCATTGCCTGTAGCAATAGTAAGAGAGAGAGGGAAAAAAAGATTACTTTTCTCCCACATCTTTAGTACCTGCAGCCACCCACATCAGATTAGCTTCTTCCTGTTGTTGGGCGCCTACCAAAGCATGGCTATTAAAACCACAGGCTCTGCTCTTAGAGTTGACCTGGAAGACAAATGCCAGCCATCAGCTGAATAACTCCAGGGGATGGTGAAAAGAACACAGAGACTCTTGCTCTGAGCTAGTGCTGGCTGCGTAGCATCTTCTTTCCTCCCACCAGTGTCACCTGCAAGGCAGTGAAGAGGACTAAATGGCTCCAGATCATAACTGATTAAATAAAAGTGGGATACATGTGTTTGGTCCTTCAATCTCCTTTAGCTGTTAATTTGCCTGTGGTGCTAGAGGGGGAAGAAATTTAAGTTGGCTTGACCTGAGCAGAAACAGGAAAATTTTTTTTGCTACTTAATCTTCCACAGATTGTCTTTCTGTGTGTGTATGCCAATGTCTGGGGCTTTTTTTGCTGGCACATCTGAAAAAATGGAAGAGAAAAAACCTTTTTTATACATTTCAAAGAAACACCTCAGCATCAGTACTAATTGTTAGTTTAAGTGAAGTGAAAGAAATTCTTGGTGAAATGCTGTTTCATAATGAAATTGCTAATCTGAAAAGTATTTGATAAAGCACTTGTTAACATCAGAAATAAAATTGGAGTGTAGCAGCACAGAGATGAATTCCTGCAACATTTTAATGTCAGGAAATGTGTAGTTATAATACTAAGGAGAATGCCTGGTTTTGACTTTTTTTTCCTTTTCTTTTTTTCTTCTCTCTCTCCTTAGATCCTCCTGTGTAAAACATATTACCTTAACAAATTGAAAAGGTGTTCACTATCGGTAGCAAATATGAATCACTTTCAACCCTTAGAGCGAGGCAGTGAATGTGAATTTAATTTTCTAAGTACATTTAGATGAATATTGATTCATTTAATTCAAACTGCTTAATAAAAATCTGTGGCAGGTTATGCCAAATAAGATAACATTTCCTTTTTTAACTTTCAGTCTAGTTTATAAATTACACTAGCCTTGTTTTTTTTACTAGCCATTTTAATATTTCTTCATATCTCTTGTGTTCTCCTGTAAACAGTTTGTTCTAGGAAGTTTAGAGACTGGCTGAAATTATCTCTAAAATATTGGTGGCTGTCTTTAAGATCACATGAAGGATGTGGGTGAATATATAAGAGTCTGGAGAAGAGGTTGTGTAATGCATCTCTTTACAGTGTGAGAGAACAGGAAAAAATGAGAAGGGAATTTTACACCAAAATTTACAAGTTAAGCTTCAAAAAAAAAAAAAAGCAACAAGTGGTAAAACTAGCTGCTTACAAATAGTTTAAAGTATTAAAAAGCAGCATGGAGTTTCTTATTTTGTTTCAGTTCTCTGCTGCGATAGGATAAATAGAGAAGTTGTACTTTGACACTGTCTTGTGTGACAAACATCACTAAGTAAAGGAAACAGAGTGGGAAAAAAAATACAGAAAACTGTTTCCAGAGAATGATTGCCAATGGCTTATTACCAAAATGGAATTTATTATTATTATTGTTATTAATTAATTT